GGTTCATGGACTCCCGCCCCCTATAATAGTAGCTTGTTTTTTTCCGTTGACGCTTTTATCTCTGACGGTGGACTTCAGTAAGAGCCCGAAAGCTCTGACGAATAAAATTATGATTCCGGTGATCGAAATGCCTTCTCCTTCTCTATCTATAGTTTTCAGTCTTTATCCTGTTTCACAGCTGGATGAAACTCCGCTGAGAAGGCGAACACTGTCTTTGGCGGGTAATATTTCAGAATGACAGTAAACTATAGCAACACTAAATGAGAGCGTGAAGATGATTGCCAGTCTTGCTGGATTATGTATACATGACGAGGGCAAGTACCTGGCGACTTATCAGGAAGTTATATTTGTCATACTGCGACAAATGTTGCTGTGGACCTCGAGACTCGCGCTTGAGCATTGCCAGAATCCGGTTTTTGTGCATTTCAAGAAATTCCTCCAGAATCACGGGATGCAAGCAGACATTGTCCCCACCAGCCGCTTGCTGCAGGTTAAAAAATGAAAAAGCGAAATGGTGCATTAGTAAAGTGGCTTCCGAAATACAAAATTAGATAAGCGTAAATAACAAAACTCTCTTCCAGGGCCGCCTAAATATAGATTTGCACCGCCCGACTGTCTTACGAAATGTGTGGTTCAACATGTAATTCTTTGTTAACGAGTGTAAATGATTATTTATTTGTGCTAAAAGTGATCACAGGTCGTAAACAATATCACACTGATTGTTAGGATTGTAACTTAGCTAATTAAATTTTTTTGAGGAAAAATCCTTGTGAAAAAATCCTACCCAATCGGTGTAAAGGCGGGTTTCAATCCGAGGTATGCCCTCGATCACCTTCTTCATCTCTGCGAACATACCAAGTAGAACGTTTTCAAACTCCTCTAGCGAGTGTTCAAATTTTATTGTCGCGTCATCGAGCACGAGACGGATGATAAAGCCCGGCATTTCTTCCAGGGAGGCATTCGCCTAGGAAACATTGGAAAGCTGAAATTAGTCGCATGCCTATACTACTTATATCGAACGAACTAACAAACGTGGAACCATGAGAACAAAACCATAGTAATTTTAAGCGCATAAAAGTGATTGGGCCGTTGTACTGTTTTTCTGGATTAATCCTCTCGACCAGCCGCTAAAACATGTCAGGTGGTTGATTGGTCCGTGCCCCTATAACTGTTGCTTGTTTTTTTTCGTTGACGCTTTTATCTCTGACGATGGACTCCATCAAGATCCCGAAAGCTCAGACAAGTAAAATTATCAGTCGAAGGCATCTGATAAATCTGTACAGAAATTGAATCAATTAGTACTATAGTTGGCCGACCTATCCGGTTATTCTACTTGAAATACATACTCCCTCCACCTGTAATATTGTCCAGTCTCTCTTCGTCCGCCTGGATAATGGCGTAACCGAAAACCAAAATTTGATGTAGCAACAGGGGGGGAGGGAGGGGGAGTCCGAAATCCTGCTCCGCGATGTGTCGCACTCGGGCCAGTGTGGCTTGGTTTCCCACTGTGCACCAACTGGCATTAGTTTGTCTACCGCCTCCTCCTGAATAGATGATTACATGGCTACTGCTAGTTTCAGCAATCCTCCCCCCCTCTGCTTCTTCCTCCCCCTCGTAGAATTAACAG